ATGGTATTACACACGAAATGAGTGACCCCTTGATGTTCGTTGTTCTACTTGGTTGTAGTTGTATCGTCGTCTTGACGGCTACCGCGGTATGTTTCAAGTAATTTAATTGGTTCAAATTTTTGAGCTATGAAAATATTTTTCTGACTATAGATGGTAATCTTAGTGGAAACAGATTTGGCCGGAGCAGCAAAACTTTTGTTTGCATTTTTCGTCACTTTATGCGCTATTATTTTTGTTTGTATTCCTAGTCAATTTTTAAAAATCACTAGTGAAGATTTTTACATTGCAAGGTATTTCTAAATGGATATTTATTAATTTTTTTAAAACTTATTTCAATAAGTTTTTTAATGTTTTATGCAAGTTGCGGAATGAATGGACAAATTTTTTCACCCAAGATACGGAAGATGTTATTATTTATAATGATGAGATCTATAAAGCCTTTCGTCCTTACTGCTGGACCAACTATCGAGTTAAATTTAGAAACCTGCAGCACTGTAATAAGCTTTATTTATACGCGTGAAAATCTCTCATAATGATGGCACGATTTTAATTCAAACTATTTTTTACAGATAATAAAATCTTCTTTATCATATGCAGCAGCCTTCAGATCGGTTTATACTTCGCTATAACTTTTTTTCTCTAATTTATTCCTTGCGAATGGAAAAAGTAGTTTTGGCACTATTTACTGTATATTCTGAGCAATTAAATACCATTAAATGCAAAAATGAGATCGCAAAAGAAATTAAAAAAATTTTAAATATTAATTACTAAGTTGTCGTGTCTAAACAATTTGAATTCAGTCGTAATAATTGAATGAAAGGTACTCAGGTGTTTGACTATGCATAACTTTAATTTACATCAACAGAATTTTTCACTTTTTATTGATTCAGAGAAGACGGTCTGATTGTGATGCTGTTCAAGAACTTTCACATAAAATTAAAAGTTTAATCCTCGAAATACAAAACGTAATATACCTTATGATAGTTGAAGGTCCTATTAAATTTTATCTTTGCCAAAGATATTATTTTTGAAAAAATTACTGAAATAAATTTTTATTTTACCTGATAATTTTTATTCACTAGTAACTTTCAGGCGCGCTTCGCGCGCCTACATTTTTTAGTCAATTTCGAAAAAGTTGCTATTTTGACCGTAGATGTCACTTTATTACGTTTCCACTCGAGTCAAAAGTCAGTCGACCAATCAGAGGCCGAATAGATTGGCTTCACTTTTAGGGTCATGATTATTTTAAGAGAGGAATAAATAAATAATTACGAATCCTAGTTTTTTATAAGTTTGTTAAATTTTTTTCATTTCTCTACAGCTCATTAAAAAAATATTACTTCGTGTTATAGTTCGTCCAATTTTTCAAGCTCAAGCTGAATGATACACTAAAATTTTCAATATTTTTACCGCAGTTTACCAAGTTTTCAAAAACGATGTAATGCTTTATATCGATCACAGAATATTTACGTCAACATAAATTAAACGAGGAAAATGTTATTTTGTGCTCTAATACCATTTGTTCACACATCGTCTAAAAACTAAGATGAATCTTGCAAAGGATCCTGATTTTTATAAAAATTTCCAAATGTCTAAGAAATTATTGGAAGATAATTTTCCTTGGACTGTAAGGATTATGAAAAGTTCTTTTCTATACCCTCTTCAAAATAAAATCGTGCAAATACTTGGTAATTTAACCCTATTTTTATGTCTGTTTCTTTCACTAGTTGTAACGGTACGTATTTATGAGGCTTTACAATTTATTATTTTAATCAATGATGATTATTATTTGTAATCATCGTTAACTATTTAGATACTGAAGCTCATCAAAGAAAAAGAAAATGGAATTAAAGGCAGCACTTTGGTCGAGATAATATTTCAACTAGTGGCTTTTATAATGATGATATTCTGTTATACGTTTCTGATAAGTTCTAAAAAAAAAGTAAAGCATTTATTTAAATATGTTTTCAATTTCAATAATAAGAAATATTTTTATTTCTAATAAAAACAAGCTATATGTGAGCTTAATATTGATGGTTCAAATGTGGTTTTCTAATGCAGAGGATATTCAAGAAATGATGATGAAATTTGCAAGAAAAGGATATCTTTTTGTTTTATTTCAAGCAGGTAAGCAGTTACCGTTTAAGATTGTGTTTTATCAGATTTATTTATTCGAACACGTTTCAGAGTCAATACTTCTATTATGTATAAGTTTTGGGATAGCTCCAGTAGCTATTCCGTCATTTTTAACATGGGTACTGCCAGGCAATCAAACTTATGAAAAAACCCTTCCTCTCCACACAGAATTTTTCGTGGATACAGAAGAAAACTTTTATCATATTTTGGGAGCTCAACTTTTTTCTTTATTTGTTTATGGTTTATTAATAGGTGCTATGAATTGTTTCCAATGTTGTGCTATATTATTTATAATAATCGAAATTCGGTGTTTACAGTACGCAACATTGGCCGTAAAATTTCTTCAAATTTAGTTCAAAGTACTGAAAAGGTGCAATAATCATAGTTAATTTATATTTCAGATACAATTTTGAAAGAATGAGTATGATGTACAACCGCAAAATTGTGAAGAATGAAGACCTTGCCAACACATGGATTTGCGAACAACTTAAAGATTTTGCTCGGACGCATCAAATTTGTATCGAGTGAGTTGTAGTAAATAATACAATTATGATCGGTTTGATTATTTCAAATTTTTCAAATTTTAGTTTCTACGGTATTACACGAGAAATAAGTAATCCTTTGATGTTCGTTGTTTTAATTGGTTGTAGTTGTATTGTTGTCTTGACGGCTACCGCGGTATGGTATAAAGTAATTTAATTGGTTCGAATTTTTAAATATAAATATTTTTCTGATTATAGATGGTAATCCTGGTGGAAACAGATTTGGCAGGAGCAGCGAAAATGTTATTTGCATTTTGTGTAACTTTGTGCGCTATTGTTTTTGTTTGCATTCCTAGTCAATATTTAAAATTCACTAGTGAGAATTTCTACATTAAAATGTACTTTTGAATACGTTTATTATTATTTTTTGATGACATAATACAATAATTTTGTTATTACTCTATACTAGTTGTGGAATGAACGGTCAAATTCATTCACCAAAAATACGAAAGATGTTATTATTTATTATGATGAGATCTATAGAGCCCTTCGCTCTTACTGCTGGACCAACTGTAGAATTAAATTTAGAAACCTGCAGCACAGTAAAGAATTTTTTTACACGAATGTAATAATTCTCTCGCAATGAAGGAACGATTTTATTTCGAACTATTCTTTCAGATAATCAAAACTTCTTTACAATATGCAGCAGCCTTCAGATCTGTTTACACTTCGCTATAGTTTTTTTCTCTTTTATCCTTTGAGAGTGAAACAACTAGTTTTGGCTTTCTTTATACAATGTTAATTTGTTGTACATAATTTTGAATGGAAAAATTTGATAGTAAAAGTAATTTGTTAACTGCTTTGTTATTTACTAAGTTATTTTGTTCATGAATAAAATTAAATTACAGTATAAGACAGAGACTTTCATTTCCATTTTTTTAGTAGATTGTGAATTCATTATCTGTTCATTTAATTATTCTTTTGGTAGATTTAAGTTATTGAATTAATTGAATATGGTCACGATTTTAGATGGTACTCTTAATGGAAACAGATTTGGCGGGATCAGTAAAAATGTTGTTTGCGTTTTGTGTTACTATGTGTACTATACTTTTTTTTGTTTTCCAAGTCAACTGTTAAAGAATGCAAGTGATGATTTGTTTTTTACCTGGTAATTTTTACTCATAATTACCGATCGTTACATTTCGAATCAATAAATAATCATTCTATTCTAGCTATAAAATGAATCTTAAAAGTTACCCTATAAAAATGCGAAAGGTTTTATTATTCGTAATGGTAAGGACTATGAAACCTTTTGTTTTAACTGCTGGACCAATCATAGAAATAAATTTAGAAACTTGCAGTACTGTAAGTTTGTTTTTTAGTTTTCCCGTGTGGCTGACTTATTATAATGTAAAGGTTTTTATTTAAATTATTATTCTCAGATAATCAAATCCTCACTGTCATATGCAGCAGCTTTTAGGTCGGTTTATACATCAATGTAACTTTCTGTAAATTTTGTGGCTTATCCATTTACTCGATATTTTTTTCAATAAAATTCCAAATAAATATTTTAATGTTTTCTGTCCCTACATATTCAAAGTATATATTTTTGATTGATAAAACATTTTTTTAATTGAAAAAATGTGAAAATTGGTCGACATCAAAGGAAAGATGAACTTTGATCCGATTTATAAAATAAATATTGTCATAAAATGTAAAAAAGTGTTGTGTGAGTGATTAATTATTTCCATGATTGTATTCAATGTAAACGGGTAAAATTCAATGTAAACATATAATTAGACAGGATGACTGACAATAAAAGCTTTGATACAAGCTTTCTATTGTGTTTTTCAAAACTCCAAAATTATGATTTCTCACGGAGCTTTTTCTATGAGCCTTTTTCGTATGGCATCTGTGTGAACATCCCTTCCTTTATTTATTTATGGTGTTTGAGGTTTTTCAAAAATGCGTCTTGCTGTATCTATCAGAGAAAACCGTTTGTGCAAATTTATCATGCAATTTTTTCTACTATGTATAATGAATGAGCCTACCAAACCACAGAAAATGAAATATACGTTAAAAAAATGTAATAAGTTATTTAAGATAATATACCACTCTGTAACATTCACCTACATTGCATTAAAACGCACGTTCTCCGGTTTCAAAACCTTTTTTGATAACTAGAGAAAACTTTGACTTGGTTGAGTAAACGTTCTTTTCATTTTGTCCATTTTTCCATAAAATATGGTGACCGAATTAACTTCTGACGAAAATACTGATCATGATATGTTCATGTTGTGGAAAGATTTTTGGAAAGAAAATTGTTACTATAATTCCATGCTAATGAAAATCGCTTTCTTAACGCCATACCAAAATCGAACTGTTAAGTATAGCGGGAGAGTAGTACTTGGTTCAATTTTGGTGATATTCTTAATTGGTTCAGTAAGTATTTCAAATTAAAAAAGTTGACGTTGAGTAAATACAAAAATATGTATAGTTTCTGAGAATTGACAAAGAAAGAAAAGAAATTGAAACGAATACCAGTGTGATGGTCGAATCAGTGTTTCAAATACTAGCTTATTCCACTTTACTATTTTGCTTTTTATTCATGGTAATAGCCTCTTCCAAGGTAAAGTATAAAACTGATCGAATATTATATTTCAATAAGAATAATGAATGTAAAAGCTAGTTACTAAGGTTGATACATGCATGATAATGATGGCCCGAATGTGGTGTGCCAATGATCCAGGAGCCAGACAAGTTATTTTAAAATTTACTCGACTGGGTTACTACTTTACATTTTTTCAAGCAGGTAAATACATTTATCACGAGATGAATACAGATTGAAAAATTTTGGTTACGGTAAATAACATATTGTTTTCAGTATCTTTGATTCTTCTATGCTTAAGTTTTGGAACAGCTCCAGTAGCAGTGCCACTTATGTTGAACTGGGCCCTAGCGGATAACCAAACATTTGATATTAATTTACCAATTCATACAGAATTTTTCATTGATGAACAAAAGTACTTTTATGTAATACTTTTATTTCAACTTTGTTCTTTATTTATCTACGGTCTTTTAATCGGCGCAATGAATATATTCCAATGTGGTGCCATATCATTTATCATTGGTCAACTTCATTGCTTGCTGTAAATTCAATATTTATATTAATTCTTCAACTGATTCTATTTCAGCTAATTAATAATGGCTAAGTTTTAAAATATGAATAAGTTTTTAAATTTTTTAGGTATTATTTTAAAGAAATTGACGACGAGTTTGACCGTAAAATTGTTGCAAAGGAGAAAAATACAGATATTTGGATTTACAGAAAACTCAAAGAAGTCATTCGTCAACATCAAAAATGCATATTGTAACTTTAACGATATACCGAAATCATTTGAACTATGATAATAGATGTTTTAGTAACATTAATCTCATAAAATCCCATATTTTAGATTTTTTGAACTACTTCATGACCTTGCCGATCCGATGATGTTTGTCATAATAGTAGGTTGTAGTTGTATGATAGTTCTAACGGGCACATGGGTAAATACTTTATTTTTTATTTATTTTGATATACTCAACTAATTTGACATAATTTTTCTGATATTAGATGGTTATTTTACTGGAATACGATTTAGCAGGAGCTGCAAAAATGATGTTAGCATTTTCTGTCGCAATGGGTGCAGTCATTCTTATTTGTACCCCTAGCCAATTAATGAGTAATTTTAGTTATGATATTTTTATCAAATCGTAATTGTTTTCTTAATTGATAATTTAAAAAACTCAAAGAGTAAAATAACTTCAAAATCCAAAAATGTTTTAATAGTTACTGTACTAATTGGCATACGTATCCACCAAAAGTAAGAGTTTTGTTAATATTCATGATGGCGAGATCTATGCAACCATTTGTATTGAGAGCTGGACCAACTATAGAATTAAATCTAGAAACTTGCAGCTCTGTGAGTCTTTTTAATGTTTACTTATAACTTTATCCATTACACATTGAAGCTCACGTTTTTTTCAGATTATAAAATCTTCAATGTCCTACGTCACAGCTTTCAGATCAGTGTACACGGCACTCTAAGTAATATGAATAAACTAATCGTAATTAATATTTAGCATTTCATTAGCGATAATAAAACAAATAATAAATTACTACAGCACAAAATTAATGATGATGACTACATTCATTTTAAAATATAACGAATTTCACCAATACAGATGTTCAATTCTTCACCAAATTATAATAAAAAATTATGGATTAATGATTGTATCAGGGGTAAAATGCAAATAAATAATAATTTATTCCAATAGCATGATTTATCTATGAATCAAATAACATGTTTTCATGAAAAATATGTCTTACTTAATATTTTAATAAGTAAATCAATAATTTTATCCACGAGTCATCGTAATATTCTTTCAACTATGTAAAATAAATGAATTTACCAAACCACATAAAACACTATATATTTTGAGAACATACTAAGTTATTTAAAGATAATTTCACGTTATAACGTTCAACTATATCCCAATAAAGCTCACTTCCCAAGGTTTCAAAACTTTTTTCGATATTTAGAAGAAACTTTGGGTTGTTTGAGTAAACGTCCATTTTATTTTGCGTTTTTTTAAATATGGTATCCGAATTGACTTCCAACCAAAACACTGATCATGATATGTTCTTATTGTGGAAAGATTTTTGGAAAGAAAATTGTTACTATAATTCTGTGATAATGAGAATCGCTTTTTTGTCGCCTTACCAAAGTCAAAGTGTAAAGTATAGCGGCAGATTATTACTTGGCTCAATTTTGATGATATTTTTATTTAGTTCAGTAAGTATTTTAAATAAAGATAAATATAATTTTAAGTAAAAATGAAAATATGTATAGTTTTTAAGAATTGAAAAAGAAAGAAAAGAGACTGAAGTCAATACAAGTATAATGGTTGAATCAGTGTTTCAAGTGGTAGCTTATGCAAGTATACTATTTTGTTTTTTATTTATGATAATGGCCTCATCACAGGTAAGTTATAAAACTAAACGAATATTATAATAAAAAAAAAAACATTTAGCATAGCAGCTAGTTACTAGGTTGATGCATGTATGATAATGATGGCCCGAATGTGGTGTGACAATGATCCAGAAGCCCGACGAGTTATTTTAAAATTTATGCGGATTGGTTATTACTTAACGTTTTTTCAAGCAGGTAATTACTTTTATTATGAGATGAAAACAGGTTAAAAACATTTTGTTTTCAGTGTCATTGATTCTTCTATGCTTAAGTTTTGGAACAGCTCCAGTAGTTGTGCCACTTATATTAAACTGGGCCCTTCCGGGTAACCAAACCTTTGAAATGAATTTACCTATTCATACAGAATTTTTCGTGGATGAAGACAAATACTTTTTTGTAATACTTGCCCTTCAACTATGTTCTATGTTTGTCTACGGTCTTTTGATCGGTACCATGAATATCTTTCAATGTGGAGCCGTATCGTTTATCATTGGTCAACTGCAGTGTTTGCGGTAAACTTAATAAATACTTTAATTCTTTAACGTATTTTATTTCAGTTAATTACTGATGACTAGATTTTTGAAGACGAACGAGTATTTAAATTTTTAGGTATTACTTTAAAGAAATTGACGATGAGTTTGATCGTAAAATTGTAGCAAAGGAAAAAGATACAGATATTTGGATCTACGAAAAACTCAAAAAAGTCATTCATCAACATCAAAAATGCATTATGTAAATTCAACCAATTCCCCGAGTTCATTTAAACTATGATAAGAGAACTTTTAGTAACATTACTTTCATGAAATCGCCTATTTTAGATTTTTCAATCTACTTCATGATCATTCTAGACCGATTATGTTTGTCATATTAGTAGGTACAACTTGTATAATAGTTTTAACTGGCACATGGGTACATACTTCTTTTTTTCTTTAAACATTTGATAAGTTCGACAAATCTAAAATTATTTTATTTGAATAGATGGTTATTCTACTAGAAACAGATGTAGCAGGAGCGGCAAAGATGATGTGTGCATTTTGTATTGCTATTGGTTCAATTATTTTTATTTGTGCTCCTAGCCAATTTATGAGTAATTTTAGTTATGACATTTTTATCAAATCGTAACTTTCTTCCTAAATAATTTTAAGAACTTGATGCGTTGACTAACTTAAAAATACAAATTCTCATTTAACAGTTACTCTACTAATTGGCACACGTATCCACCAAAAGTAAGAGTTTTGCTAATAGTTATGATGATTAGACTCATGGAACCGTTTGTATTGAAAGCTGGTCCAACTATAGAACTAAATTTAGAAACTTGTAGCTCTGTAAGTTTTTATAATTTACAATTATGACAATTTTCAGTAGAAATTAAAGTATGCATTTTTTTAGATAATAAAGTCCTCAATGTCATACGTCACAGCTTTCAGATCGGTCTACACGGCACTCTGAATATTATAAATAAGTGAATAAATAAATACATACAATTGCAGATTTTATTAATATTGATAAAGTAAATAATAGACTATTGTTACTTGAAAATTGTTTACTTTGAAGCGACATAGAATCAATTATAATGCTTGCATTTCTTCTTTGAATTTATTGAAGTTTGAATACGTGCAATAAATTATTTAAGACCAAAACCGCAGTTTCCAAAGTCAACCGTGTTATTTCCACCTACTGTTTACTTTTTTTAAACAGTTTAAACAATTCAAGTATCAAGGATGAAACCTTGTGAAGAAAATGTCGCACTAGCTGAATTTCAAAGGTGCTGTAACGTTTATTTTAAAGATAACGACAATGATAAAGATTTCGTACTATAAAGTCTTTCGATTTGCAGTGCTTATTCCATACATTTTACTAAAATGTTAAATATATTGATCGTTAGCCATCGATCAATAATAAATTTCCATTGCAAAATTTTGCTAAACTCGGTTCATTGACGTGCTAGCGACACGCAGTTTGCTCGTTTGTTACACAAATGATGTGGACTTGCTCCAGAAAGCGAATGTCCAATTAATGTAATCGAATAATTCATCGCTTTTGGGATATTACATTTATGCATGACGCACAAGATGCGCGCGTTGAGCTATTAGAACTCGACTTGCATTTCTATGGTTATCGCCGATGTCGGAAGTTATTGTTGGAATATATACGAAATTTATATGCGCGCACAAATTTTCATAATTAGTTTGATGGAACGAGCATTACTTTTATTGAAAGTTTGACGCAATAAAGTTTAAATAAAGCATAATGCAGACGAGCTTCATCAAAAATTAACAATAATAATAATTTTAATCAGATCCCATGTTTGAATATTTTCTCAGGCAGATTTCATATAATCAAAATAAACTTTTAAAATATAAAAATCTTCGATGAACTACTACTTTTTAGTTTTATTATGGTAATTTTTTAGAAAAATTCCGAATTGAAGTTCTGACAAATTTACCATTTTTAGATCGAAGATTTCGAATAAGTTCAAGATTATCCCAACACGAGTTAACTCTTATATTATTTGTCAACCGGGTATATTGAGCGTCAGTGGATAACCAAGTAAAAATTCCCCAAAGGCGGCAAGTCGTCTAAACCAAAGATTCTTTCTTTCATTCTTTTTTTTCCCTCTCTATCTATATGTGTGCGTGTGTATGTTTACGTAGCGCAAAAGCCGAGGCTATATGGAGCGGGACTAGCTTGGATTTTTGTGTCGATGTCCCATTGGGATTTTTCAATTTCGTTTTCTCGTTTTTCTCAACACGCGCGCGCGGATAGTAGTGGCGTT